TGGACATCCCGAAGTTGTAACAGAAAAAATATTGAACGTTATGCCGAATAACGACGTCGCTTGTTCATGTAATTCGCTTTTACTGTGTGATCAGTATGTTTCGTATTCGAACGCGTGAACTTTGCCCCACGTCACCGTTCTGCCCGTGCAATTGCCACGGCGTGTTCTGTTTGTCCAGTCAGGTGGAAAAAAACTAAGGGATAGTCAAACCAAGACCTGGCATGAGAATATGAAAACCGTGACTTGCTCACATGGGGGCGCATTAAGATTCCCATATGCGGGTGGGTTACTTATTGTGTGGTTAAAATCACTGAATGATATAGCTGAGCATAGAAAAAAGTGGCGTTCTTGTATCTACTCGTTATCCTTGCAACCTTAGTCTGTCTGAATGTTCTGTTTTCACTCTGATACTCATCTAAACATTCGAATCTTCCCTTCACTTCTTCCTCCAAATGGACGGTTATAGGACAACAACCAAAAACCGGCGCACAACAGTACATGGCTAATGGTTATACAAACCGAAACTGAACTAATGGCCTTAGAACAAACTTACAGTAAACTACAGTTCCTCTAGTGGTAGATTCAGTATCCTACCTTCTCCGGGACTAGGATCACAGTGAGAACAAGGGACAAAGTAGTCGGTGTAGAAGACCGCGTATGTAAACGAACGGGTCGAGCAAAACACTACGGCTTCACAAGCACTGATTATGTCACTTCGGTTGGTGATGAAACGTTTGCAAACAAATTACCAAACTGGGCGAACGGGCGAAGTGGAATTCAGTTCACTCGAGTTACGATAACCGATTCTCAATACTTTGTCACTAGGATCATCCATTGAAAATAAATTTATCACTCTCTGCTAGCAGTGTAAAATACGGGTTGTGGTAACCCGCACACCTACATAAGTAGTGTGATAACTGCTTGGTATAGTTTATTTGAAATGCAACGGACTTCGTGTAGACTCATCGATGCTCTTGCTTTCTTTCCAGGAATTTCCCAGGGCTCAAAACGTCCGATCGAAACCAAACAAGCCATTCGTCGAATTGAATTGGCTCTGCAAAAGCTGGAACAGACTCCAGTCGGTGGCACAGACTTGTTACAACCGTTGTCATCTACTAACAGACGACCGGTCATCCCGCCTGGAATCCTAGCCCACTCCGGTCCCAGTGGAGATTCTCGTAGTTCGTCTACACGCGGTTTTTCCGGCGCACGGGGCTATCCAAGGCGTTGTGATAAGAACACTCGGCCTCGTTTGAATCGATTATAGGGACGGAAAAATAGAGACTGCCAGGGGTTTTAAATAATAGCAAATTGCTGTACATAGATGTATCATAATAACACGTGACTTTACCCACCCCACCCCACCTTGTGTCTGATACCTGACTGGAACTTTTCCTAATTTAGCAATAACAGAAATTTTCAATCCTATGTTTCCACCCTGTTTAAAGTAACAGGCTGATTACGTAAATGATATTGCACGTGTCTTTATGTATCCTCACAAAATAATTCTGCTCTTCCTGGTGGCATTCAGTCAGTTCTGTAACTAACTGGAACACTGTACTGTACTGAATATCTATGGCCATTTGCACTCCAAATATGAACGATGTCCTTCCGATGCTTAGATATTGTCACCGAAACAACTCTTGTATTGGCTGCGACTGCCTGGTATTCTTCGGCTAGAGTTTTTGTTTTCCTTTCGCGGTGTGGTAGTGTAAAACAAAGAAAAGCTCACTTTTTTCGAGACACACTTGTCCCAACTGAACCAGGCGTCTCTGGTTTCGCGTTGTACCCGGGCATGATAAATCTGTTGGACCAACTCCAATGATTTTCCGCGAACAGGGATATTACACGCGATGATTCCAGCACTGATTGAATTTTTTGTACCCGTACTGACCAACAACCGTTGCATATCCACACGGAAAATGTAAATTTGTCATAGACGTTACTAGTTTAGCTTGTTTACCTCCTGTTGAAAACAGTGTTCAGTGGATAGTTTGGAAAAATGAATCATGGTGTTATTAGTGTCGAGTATTCTTCCAGTCAACACAGCAAAGTGTGCTCACCTGCATTTGGGGTGTGCTTACTCAGAGGTAGTCTACAACTTCCAGGGAACTACACTGCGCAGAACATCGTGCGAACGAGACCTGGGTGTTATGGTTACGTCATCACTAAAGACCCAAGAAAACACCGATCGG